AAATATATAATAAGAAAATAACAATAAAAGCAGAAAAACTGAGAATCTAGTAAGCTTATAAAAATATTTTTTTGTTTACATTTACAAATTCAATCTCAGTTTAGATTTTTTCCATAACTAAGCCAAAACTAAATAACCATTATACTTATTTTATTAGAAGCTACAAGTAACTGATTTTTATAAGCTAATAAAACCTTTTATTATAATAATTTACATATTCACTTTTGTTTTCATTCTTAGTGTTTTTTTTTTTTTTTTTTTTTAATATTATATTTTTTTAGTATCACCCTGTATAAAATTTTTCATAGTATTTTCGCAGTTTTTGGCTTTTTTCAAAAGTTATAATTAAACGTTACATTAACAAAGTGGAAAGCAAATTGGTTGAAAAGGAGATAGTTTCGAAATATGGATAAAAATTTAATAAATAATTAAAGTAGCAAGTTTGTTAACAAAAATTATATTTTTGAAATATTGAAAAAAATTATAAATAACAAAAGTAGCAAATTTGTTGAAACTTCTTTTGAAATTCTGAAAAGAATATTATAATTGCCAAAAGTAGTAAATTCTTAAAAATCATTTATGCAATATTTACTTTCTACAAAAAACATTATCAATTTAAATATTTCAGTAGGCTCCGAAAAACTGAGTTTACTGCTTAGATTGTTATTGGATTTTTAATTTCTTTAATGAAGAAAATTTTAATAAGCCTTATAAGCCAATTTTAGAATGTAAAAATGCAATGAAAATTTATGAAAAATTAATAAAAATTCTTTTAGAAAATCGTCTCTAAATAAATCCTTTTCACAACTCGTTACTAATTCGCCTGCCGCTCTCAAAGAGCTTATAAATAATGCTAACTTAAACATAATGTTTCAAGTTATGAAGCCATTATTGAACCACTTTCGAAAAGTAATGCTTAAAAGGTTTAAAAATTGCATAAAAAATACAAAGTAAGCATTGTTTGGCATACAAAATTTACATTGAGAGGAAATTCAATAATCTCATGCTCATTTAAGTGACATTTTACACTAGCGAGCCGTGGCTCGATTTTTGTATTTGACTATTTTCGTTTGCGTTCCCCTCTTTGCTATTGTTTTTTTTATTACTATGATTTTGTATTGAGTCTCAAGGGTGAGATTTACACATTAAATGTAAATACGTATTTTCTATTTATGTTTTGAGTCAGATTTGTGTGACTAAACGTTGTTCTAGACGATATAAGATCAAGTTGGAAGAAGAATATATAGAGGAAATACTTTTCAATACATAAAAATGCGTTTAATAACGTCAAAATTTATTGCTATATGTTTTTCATTTCACTCTTTGTATGAGCATGCTTGTAATTCTCAACACAGTTACGAAGTTTTATATTTGTATTTATTTTTGTGTAAACTGCTGTAGAAGGCTTTTGAAAGCTATAAAAAAATGTTAAGAGAAGAAAATTCTGCAAAGAAATATAAAATATACTTTACAAAATCTGAATACTGTATTGTAAGGCCGCGCATAGTGTGGCGACAGTAGGTAGAAGTCAGAATATTCCCACTTTCACAATTTCTTATATTAAAGTTCCACGTACCACAAAAATTTGAGCGTCTACTATTTAGTTTGCTGAGTTCAACGTAAAACGTCAAAGAAGTTCAATTCAATACGCTCTAAATTAAGGGAGATATACCCTCAAAAGTTTATAACTTTTTTTGCAGAGTTCAAAGTGAAGTCTCGCAAAAGTTCAATTCGAATTGCTCTAAATGAAGCCGGGGTATTCAAGGATCCACATAAAATTTGCGTCTAGTCGCACAAATCTGGTGTTATGTATTATTGGCTGCTATACTAGTTCAAAAAAATTAATGCAAGTAGAACATCTATTTATTACATAGTTTTGCATTTAAACATTTGGCTTTGGCTATTTTTTTAAATTTTTTTTTCATTGGTTTTTTGTTGACTTGACTATTTCTGTTTTGTGCTTTTGGTTACTGCTATTATAAGTGTTGTTTGTTTACTGTTAAAATAGGAACAACCCGCTCATTTAAGAGAGGTCTATGGTGAGTTTATGTCTGCTATAGAAAATGCTGCCTACAAAAATTCATGCAAATGAAGTCGTTTTGCTAAGCAAAAATTAAAAGCTACTTCGACTACTTAAACCCAAATTATGAATGTTTTAAAAATATTAAAATCAAATGAAAACTCTCAATTCTCAAAATTAACCACACACACACATATTCACCACACAATAAAATGCAACTCTGCGCTAATTTGGTCAATTACTGTTGTTGCACGAGCAGCTGTTCGACCTGATCGGCGGTGCGTAGCAGAAATGCTGCGCTCTCCCGATACGCCGAGATCACCTGACGCGCTGCCGTAATTTCGTTGGGACTCAGTTTATGCGCCAACAATGGCGGTGGACGTACGGCAGCAGCCGCAGCCACATTGGGATCGTTCATTGAGCCACCAACCATTTGATTGGCATTCATACCGGTCGCCATGATTGCTTGCTGTTGCTGCTGCTGTTGCTGTTGCTGCTGTTGCTGTTGTTGCTGCTGCTGTTGCTGTTGTTGCAGCTGTTGTAGCTGCTGTGTGGCGGTGACCAGCGCATTGTTATTGTTGATGGAGAGACCACCAGTGGCGACCAAACTTGTTAGATTCGGTGCGCCGACACCCATCACGCCGATATTGTTGTTCGTATTGACGGTGGTTGGGGCGGTGGTGAGTGTAACACATGTGCTGGTGGACGACGGTTTCATGGAGAGATCAGTAGGAGCAACTGTAAGCACAAGCAAATAAACATTGAAGCATAAACCTTTAAGTAAAAGTGGCGCGTTAAACTCACCATTGCCAAGCCCTGCTACACCCGGAAAGTAGCCGGGATAGGTTGGCGTGCGACCGGCAGCCACTGCCGCAGCGGCAGCAGCTACAAATGGCGATGCTGCTGAAGGTGAAGTGAAATCTGATGGTCGATAAAGTGGACTTGTGGCAGGCAAACCGGCAAGTCCACCCACCGTACCATTGGTTGGCGTATTGCCATTCGATAGTACAGCCGTCAACGGCTTTATGTCCAGTCCGCTAGTGCTGCCACTTACGCTCGTGTTCGAACTCAATGCCAACGGTGAGCTGCGCGCTGAGTTAATGCCACCGCTGCCACCGCCAGCGCCAGCCGTTGAAGCAGCTACAGCTGCGGCGGCAGCAGCAGCCACGGCAGCGGCTGGTGTCAACGACAGCGGTTCGGCGGCATCGGAGTTGGGTGTGGAACGTGCGAAGCCGCCACCACCGCCGCCAACAAACGGCAGCGTAGACGTTGTGACGGTGGAGATGGCGTCGCCAGCCGAAACCGAAGTGATGGTGGAATTGCCAACGCCACCCACGGATGTGGCGGAGCTGGTGGCAGCCACGGCGGCCGCGGCAGCTGCTGCCGCTGCTGCTGCAGCTGCGGCGACGGCTGAACCAGGCGCTGGTATGGCATGTGTGATGGGCTCCAGGCCGATACGCATACGCTTGGCATTCATGGACTCATTCTCACAGGCGATCGCCAGTATCTGCTCCGCCTGCACGGACGTCAAGTGTGCTGGTGTTGGACGGGTCTGTGGAAAAATAAAGGAATGTGCGTTTAGCATGTGTTTAGTGCATAGCTAATGGTAACTTACGGTGTTATCCCAGCCTTCGCGTGTTTTCTTGTTCCGTCGGCACGACTTCAGATACGTTCGTATACGTTTGCGTGAGCGATCGCTAAATTCGGGAAATTGACGTGCACACGAATCGATGATTGCTTGTATTTTCTCTTTTGGCTGCTTGGAAATTGGCACAATGCGATCAAGATTTTCATCCACAAACAAGCGCACGAACATCTAAAATACAAAAAGCAAGTTAGTTAGTGCCATACGTCTTTTTAAAAGGCACAATGCGTACGTACATTGAACGCCTTCAGCCGTTCAGGGTCATGTGTGGCCAACTTTTCATCTAGTTTATCATCCGAATCATCCTCAGAGCCTTCATCTTCCTCCTTCTGCCCCGACGAGTTCGTCTCATCCTGCGCCTCCATGGGTGATGTGACATCTGTGCGCGGCACCGGCGACAAGGATATGTCCATTTTGTTATTTGCCGCATTTTGTGCCAAAGCATTCTGGTATTGTGCCCACAAACCGCCAACCACACCCAAATCGGGTCCCTCAGTGCCATTGCGTACCGCATTTGAATTCTGATAATTCCAAGCCAACAGCATCAGTTTCAATTTGTCGGCATCCTTCATTAGGCCGGCATAGGGATCCGTTTCGGTGTTGTTGTCACCGCCAACGCTCCCAGCCACCGAACCCGCTGCGGCGCCAATACCCACAACACCGCCCGTGACACTGCCACCACCATTACCGGTCGCGTCCGTGGTGGTTGTGGTCGCTGCAGCTGGGATGGTCTCCTGAAAGCAAAGAAAATAACAACGCAATGATTAGTAAGTGAATGTGGTATACGAAAGGAAATCAGGCTAAAGTGTTGGTTGGAATTTGTAAGGAATATCTTCGTCATGAGCCAAGCAGCGCCTACTTTGAGCGCGCGCAAGTCTCTAGAGAAGCAAAACTTTTGCCAAACAACTGTGATTTGTTGTTGCTAGGCAGCTGCTTTGTTTTTACTAAGTTGGTGCCAAAGACGCTGAGCATCAGAAGCCGTCTCCGCTATTTAGCACTTCGCCCCCTATTCGGCTGAAAATTTCGTTGACTCGATTTATTTTAACTGAATGTTTCCTTTTACAAACTCGGTTGTACAAAAAATACTTCGTGTCTGCATTAAGCGTAGACTTTCGAAATTTTCTTTTAGTTTCCTGTTAAAATTTTTGAGGAATAAAGCTTCTTCGTTTCTTCGTTGGATCAAGTAGAAGTGCAGATAGTCTCGCTTCAATGCACGTTGACCGCTAACTGTGTGTGACAGCCAACCATGGGTGTAGCCCCTTAACCAAAAGTTAAAGTCCGCAGCGACGAGTCATCGACTGTCGGTTAAGCAATCTTCATTAGTCTTGCCCTCACGCTTCTACTCTTAGGTTGGTTATAAACTTTTATGACCAAAAGATATCCGTGCCAAGTAATGGACACTAACACACACAGCAACATTTACGTGTGTATTTTTTAATTCATAGAAGGCATACGTAACATCTAAGAAATGAATAGAAGAACCACAGAAACTTTTTGTGCACTCTCCAACAAAAATAGGGCTTAAGGCACTCCAAAGGATACAAATGAATATGAATGTGTGCGTGTGCATGGCATATAGTTGTCGTCTGCAGTGTATATATAAATGCACGAAAAATACAGGACCTCTATGTTAGCCTGCTAAATCGTTGCATAAATGAATATGCAAGAACGTCTATGTATATGTATGTATGTATGGATCAAAATATGCTTGAGTGCTTCTCCCTTTGGGGTACAATTGAGATAGTAGTACAGTTTATTGAAATACTGGGGGTCAGTGGAAGCAAAGTTTCTTATATTTCTTCGCATGAATGATTGAAAGGAGACAAAGTGTGGCGAAAGTGTGCGCCCTTAAAGCTTTGTATGCAACCCTTTACCCACTGCCTCATGCCACAGACACGGGCAGGATTTGCTCTTCTCGAGAGGAAGACGTGCTGTAAAGGCAAGAAATTGATTTAATTGAAAGCTAAGCGCATTTTTTTTATATTTCTTTAAAATGCGGTTTGCTAACTTTATCTACCACAATTAAACAGATAAAGTAAATGAAAATCGATGCGATTAAAAAGGGACTGGGAGACATATAAAAGTCGAGCCGAGTAATTGGAATGAATGGTAATGGGCAGCGAGTCAGGTCGAAACAACTAAAGCGAAAAGCTATTTCTTAGAAAAATTTCAACAGAAAATTTCATTTACTAAAAGTTGGTAATGAAATTAAGTGACTTGCAAAAGTCATTTTCAGCTCTTTGCTATTGGATTTTGCACTCCATTTCTCGTCTGTCGAGAAACTGCATGCGTGGTTCTTGCATTTGTTCTTTCCGATAATGCTTGGCTCATAGGTAGATGTCTATAGAAATGAAAATCCCGGATGTAACATTTCCCTCATTGGAATACTCTCAGCGTATCTAAAAGGTAATATACTTGGGTTGCATCATTGATAGAAAGCTATTATAGAAGCTTAGTGTTGAGTAGAGGGTTAGGAAGGCATTGGTTGCCTTATCTTGCTGTAAAGAAGCTAGCGGAAAGCAGTGGGCACTCTCACCCAGAGTTGTGCTTTGGCTGTACAAGACCGTAGTTAAGCCAATACTGTTCTATGATATATTTGTCTGGTGGAGTGCGCTTGATAAAACTACATTTGCTAAACAACTGTAAAGTTTCCAACAAGCCGCTCTATTTGGCATCAGCGGTGCATTACGTATWACACCAAATATGGCCTTTAATGTGTAATGGCTCATCCATTTGATACTCCTAGTGGCTCATTCTCTGTACATATACCTTCGAGAAATTTGTATATAGGTCGGAGGCGAAAAGGAGCATTGAACGGAAGATCGCGGATGGATAGAAGCTGAAGATGAATGCTGGAGGGGGAATTCTCAATAAATTCTTGCTTCAAACCGCCAGAGCACTGTAATGTCTTTCAAGCAGAAGTGATAGCTATTAAGGTAGCAGCAGATGTACTTTAACATATTTTTATTAAGGGAGGTATGCATCCACTTCGAAAGCAAAGGTGTTATAGAGGCCTTGAGCTCGCTGACAGATGTCAGAAACATCTCGGTAGCTATACTAAGCTGACCTAATCTACTTACGCATAATGAGAAAACTTATTACTTTTAGTTCATAAATGGACTTATCAAACTTTCAGAGCAAGTTCGATATGCTTGGAAGATATCTGTCTTCTAATAAACTGCCCAAAAAACTTAGAATATCATTTTATTTACAAAACAACTTATAAAACTTTAAAATTTCTTCCAGCGTTTGATAGAAAATATATTTACGGGCATACACACTTTCATAATTATATTGGGTAGTCTGAAAAGTCTTTTCGTATTTGAAATCAAACTTCAACTAATTTTTTTTATTTGTAATGAACTTAATATAATATATTCCAAAAAATTTTTGGAAACTGGCGGCTTTGCTAAGGTCTTCTTTACTATACAAAATGTCCATATTCCCTTGCGCAGGAAATTCCAAATAAAATGCTTTATAAGTTATTTTCTGCTGCTTTGGCAGTTTATGTTTAGGGTTGAGTCAGCTTTACTAGCTCGCCTTACTCGCCACTGCTTCACCTAAGCAAACTGCTTGCCTATTTCCCAAAGAAAGCAACGTCTTTATATTTTCCCATGCCAAATACCAAACACTTTCATCTTAACGACAAATAATGTCACAAATAGTTTTTAGTTCTAATGTGTCGGTAGTTGCGCCTAAAAGCAGACTGTCATACATGCAAATGCATGCTCGTAATAAAATTTTATGTACAGGGGCATGTATGTATGCAGTCATTTGAGTGTGTGCAGTAAAGTTATCGCTTTCTAGTCAGCCAAGAAGCTGATACAACAACAACGGCCGTTAGTTTTCTCAACTTACTACTCTTCTTATAGCACATTTTCGAGAATTAAATGTAGTAAAAGTAGTTGGGTGTAGCGGGTTGTCTGCTGCTTAAGTTAGACTTTCAATGACACACTATAAATACCAAATAATTATATGGTTATATGTGTACTTCCTTCGTCTGAGTGTAATGCCTTCAAGTAATATATGAACTTGTGAAAGTAATATATGAACTTGTGAAACACTACGGCACATAGCCTTAGAGAGTTTAATATAGATTTGAATGTAGTGTATAGTTAATGGAACTTACTGAAAATAATTAGTCATCATTTTATTAAGGTTTCACGAAAATCATTCTTGCATATGGAACTGGAAAAAGAACTCATAACGTCTTTAATATTTTTCGCGTTCAGAATACAAGAATATTGATTTTTATATACCTATCCTTACAAGCTTGTGATTCCGATCGTTCAGTTTGTATGAAAACTATGTGACAAATTGATCCGATCTAAAGAATTTCTTCAGTGATTGCATTATACCCCTAGATAATAACCCATGCCAAATAACGTTGCTGTACACTACCTAGTTCCTCTTAAAAAATAACTTAGACAACTAAGCTAGGATCGTCACATAAAAGTGGGCAATGGACAAACTGAAGCTTTTGATTGACACTGTTGCTATTATTATTGAAAATGTACCACAGCAAAGTGCAATTATGTACGGAAATATGGTGAGGGTGTGGCTGAAGTTGCAAACTAACTACAATTAGGTTTGGTAAATTTTTTTTAAATATCCGCTACACACCTACCAACGAGGCTATGACAGTAAAAATCCGCTTTGAGCCTTTAAGTTGTGTAGCATTAAAAGAGCGAACATAAAAAGTTACTGTATGACCTTACAAAAAAGTAAATGAGATGTACGAATTCGTGACTCTGGGTTGGGTTTTTTAGGAATATTGAAAAGGAGTGACCGCGGCTGGTACTCGCTACACACAGAGTTATTACGAACAACTCAGTATGTGTGTGATATAGTATACTAGTCTGTTTATTTGTGGTATATTGCTATGCGCGCTGGATTTAGAAGTCTAAAAAGTGCTCACCTGCCTGCAAAGGGAGGCGGCGCTAATTCTCTCACCTTCATTAATTTATTTATGCATACAACAGATTTGTATGCTGCAACATGTAACTGTAAATATATATACATTTTATACACTATGTAACTATTTCGCATGCTTTCCACCAAGCTATGCGCCTAAATGTAGGCACATGCAAGCATTTACTCGTGTATGGGCGAACGCACATATTGTGCTGTCCACCCGTGCTCGATGCTGCTGCCAGACTTTTATTTAAAATAAATTTTATTTTATATTTTAAATATAACGGTATTGTGTAGCGTAGCGGCAAAGGCATAAAATATGCAAAATAAAGTAAAATTACGCGCAACGCCGTTTGATGGGTTTGCAAATGTGTGTGTGTGTGTGGCAGGCTACAGTTGCGTGTCGAAACGAAACAAACCAGATATTTTGCAAAAAAGATAGTAATAACCAAATCAGGAAACCAATGGCAGTTTGTGCGCCGAACGCCATTGCAATGCGCCTAAATGCTGGCTAGCGTTTTTAGCATAGCAAGCGGTGTAAGCTATATTTGCATATATAACTGTATATTATATATATACATATATATATAGTATGTGGAATACTATATTTTTTATGAAACCCTTGTTTTGTGTCATTTTAGCAGCAACATTGCAACACTGTGCTGGCTTTGAGCACACACACACAATTTAACTAAGGAAAAAGTAAATAAGTAAATAAGCCGTAACAACAAAAAGCTTTTTAAAGCGAAATAAAATTAATTAAATTAAAATGAATTGAATGTCTATGCAATAAAATAAAATAAATTACAATTAAAACACA